GAGACCTTTGTGGAGTGTATCGGTGTAGAAGGTCTGACAGGTAAGAAGGAGCCAGGCCATTTAAAACTGTAAAAGCAAACAATACAATTTTAAAATGAATTCTAAAATGGACAACCAATGTAAGGAGGCAGGAACAGGGGCTCACATTTGTGTGTCCCTGTCAACAGGCGAGCAGCAGCATTCTGGACCATTTGCAAGTGTGATAGTGAAGCCTGATCAATACCAATATAAAGTCCATTACAATAATCAAGGCGAGTGGTCACAAATGCATGTAAAACTCTCTCCAAGTCACAAAAAGAAATAAAAGGTTTTACTTTAGAGAGCTGCCTCAGCTGAAAAAAGCTATTTCTCACCACTGTATTTACCTGAAAATGAGAGAAAGGTGGCATTAAAAAAACATAACATATCTATGAAGCGCCTTGAGGCGACTTTTGTTGTGATTTGGCGCTATATAAATAAAATTGAATTGAATTGAATTGAATCTTACAGACATGCTGATAGATGTTAGGATTCCTGATCATGCTTCAGTAAGAAAATTAACTATGTTTGTGACGTAACCTGCAACATACATATTATAAACTGGTAAAGCCCGATATAACTGGGGGTTGAATTACGCCTTAATATGACATAAAATAGAGCTGATCGCACGTTGTCAGGATGCATCTCGTCTGCTCTTCTCTGACCCGTTTGGTCTGTCCACATGTCCTTTCAGTTTGTCTGCTGTAGACAGCTCTTTAGGCCTGTCACTTCTTCTTTTGTCCACTGCTTGTCAAGTCTACTTTCTTTAAGGACACACTTCATATCCCAGGCCTTTCAGTTAGTAGATCTTTGGGAATCATCTTGTCGGTGCAAAAATGCTGTTTTATGCCAGTCAGAGTGTGCTAGCTTTGGCATGAACAGGGTCTGGGCTGAAAATGACTGAACAAGCAGACTTTGAAAGTCTAGTCCTGATCATTGCTGGATAATGGCTTTGCCATTATAGCTGACCACTATAATAATTGAATGAACTTTCTCCTGTAAGGGTTAGGGTTAGGGCTGAAAGTCACTTTTACTACTGTGGGTATATTTCCCTTTAATCCTTTCATAATTACTAGTTAACCCAATAGTTTACATTTTCCATTAATTACCTTCCTGTTATATCCAAGCATTGTAAAATTTGAAGATCCGATTTTAACATTTACCAATCCAAAAGCTTTAAAATTGAAAAACTGCTTAATAAGTGAAGTTGGTGTTAAACAGAATACAAAAAAAAAAAATCAGGATACTCAATACTTAACTGGCAGACCAAGTGAATCTATTTTCCACTAGTCGGTGTAAAAGGACAGGTCCCGAGTTTCCTTTTAAAGGAATCCACACAGTTGGTTAATTTTAGGTTTGCGCTCAGAGCAAAGCATAGGTTAGATACCAGAGCCTCAAAACTCTAATCACCCTGAGCCCTTGGGTGGGTGCAAGGCTGGTCTGGACAGGTGTGAAGTGTGTGAAATGAAACTTTGGGAGACTAAAGGTCAACCTGGACAGCTGGCTGCAATATGAATTAAAAGCATCTGCTGGCTTTCTCTGAATGGAAATGCAGGGATAATGTGGAAAAGATGCGATTTATGGTGATCAATCGTACTTTTTCTGGTTTATCAAGTAAGCTTTTGTACTATTTTATCAGGTCACATAAGTGTATACAGACCTTATAGCTGCCAGTGTCACATTCTAAGATAAAAGAGATTTTATTCTAATAACACCTTATTGATCCCTATTTTTTGATTTGCTAACATTTAGGCTAACTGACTCACTATGTGTTTGTGTTTTTTGTGTGTTTAGGTCTTCCAAGAGGACCTTCCAGAGAAAATCCAGGACATTTGGGATAGTTTAACAGAAAAGCCTGAAAACATGCCAGAGTCTAGTTGGCGATTTGCTACTCCAAAGTCTCTCTTGGACAACTTGTGCCGCACCATGTACTGCCTCTTCAGTGAATGCTTTTCCAACGCAGACGTTCAGGAAGACTGTAAGTATAAGAGAGGAAATGACACCGTAGGCTGTAATTTGTTTAAGAACCATCCCATGTCAGCTTTTAAATGGGTTCATTTCGTTAAGATGATGTCGGGTATAAACTCCCCAAACAGCTCATTACATAATGTCAGTCTTGATGTTAAAGAGGCATCAGCATTTGTTTTTCAGATTTTGGATTAGCTAAGATTCTGCAGATGTTTCCTGTCATACAGGACTAAATATTTTATGAAACTCAGGGATGATAGAGTGGAAGTACATTTTTCAGTAACG